CTGTTGTTGAGAAATAGGAAGATATTACTTTTAAAAAAGAGATTACAACAGTAAATAATTGTCTGGGATGGAATTATAATTGTTGTTGTGTGCCCTCTAGTCATTTCCAACTTAGGGCAACCTGAAGATGAACCTATCACAAGATTTTCTGGGACTCAAGAGAATGTGATTTGCCCTAAGTCACACAGACAGTTTCCATGGTTAAGCAGGGAATTGAACCCTGGCCTCCAGAGTCCTAGCCCTACACTCAGACCACTACACCATGCTGGCTCTCAGTATTATACTGAAGTCTACGAAACATCATGCTGCCAATTTCTTTCTTTCAGTTAGTCTCAAAGGTGCTACAAGATTTCTCTACATATAGTATTATAACAGGTAACTGATTACTTTTTAAAATTTGTTTCCAAGCTCTGATCAAGTCTTCTGTTGATAGCTTGGCTCCAGAGAGTAGGGTCAGATGATATCACCAATGAGAAAAAAAAGTGCTTCATACCACATAAGACCACTGGACCATCTAACTCAGTATTGTCTATTGCACATGGTTCCAACCTCCAGAGTCACAGACAAAATTATTTCATAGCCCTACAGGTTGATACTGAGATTTTTTGCATGCATATGCTTTTCCAGTGAGCTTTAGCCCTTCTTCAAGCGCCACTGAACTAGGAGAATATGCATAATTTTTCTCTTCAATAAGAAAATGAAACACTGAGACACCCTATCAGACAATTGTCAAGGACTGAAGTTTTTTGATATTTCAGAACTTCTTGGCTAGGCTCAGAGAACAGAAAAGTGCCTCTTTTACTTGAAGGTATTTCAGAGAGTTGAGATTGCCCCTTTTTTCGGCGTGAGAGAATCCAAGTGTATAATTTCCTGCATTCAGACTGAAGGGCTAGTGCCTAGAAAGAAGGGCTACTATGGGGGGTTGCAGACTGCCAGAAATAGTGCAAATTGAGTTCACTTTTAGGGTTAGGGTTAGTGCTAGGGAATCATGGGAATTGTTTGTTTTTTTCCTGAGACATTGACCCTTCTCTGTCAGAGAGCTCTGGTGCCACAACAAATTACAGTCCCCATGATTCCCTAACCCTAACCCTAAAAGTGGACTCAATTTGCACTATTTCTAGCAGTCTGCAACCCCCCTATGTTGAGCTGCAAGGCTCCTGTTCTTTTGCTCAAAATGTGAACTTGATATGCAGTTTAAGGAGTCACAGGAGAATGGTGGGAGAGCAGCTTAACTAAAACAGAGATGTGGCTCCAAGCCCAAAAAATAGGCTGCAGCTGTGGACAATAATATTATTCAGTTACCTGAATAGGAGAGTGTTTCTGCATTTATACAGATTGCCCCTAGGCCCCCTCCCCAGCATTTCTCAGGGCATGGCAGAATAAATGATACTTGGTCAGGTAGTTTAAGATCCTAATCTTTCACGATGTGGTTAAGGTTTTGTAGCATAGCCCTCTGTGGCAGGAGGGATGTTATGACTTGAGGGTTGGGACATGCCAGAAATATTAACTGCGTGGTTCCTTCGGCACATACATTTAAGCAGTCTGTGTGGGATTAATAAAGCATGGAGCATATCTTCCTTGGCTTCTTAGTCATTTTTAAAACCTCTGGAAAAGAGAACAAAGGAACACACGCAAGGAGTGCTTGACAAAATAATTGTCAGAATATTTCCTACCAGCCTTGAACTTCTTAATGGTATCCAGTGTGCCTAATCTGTGACTTGCCTTCAGATGTGTTCCTCTTTATGGTGTCATGTTCCTCTATGTTGTTTTTCCTTAAA